TAAGAGAAAAAAAGACCCCGCCACGATGGTCAATCACCCGCAACAGCAGCACTCTAACCATCGCGAAAGACAACATCTGGACTATAAAGGAGGGTCTGCAAAGGCAACACCTTCAAAAAGAAAACAATGCACAAGCGTTGCCGTCGCACGATCAATGGTCTTAGGTTTTCACCCGAGAGAAGACCACCTTTCCAAATCTAACGCCCGAGTTGGAAATTTATGGTATCACGAGGTTGACAATTTCGTTTAGCAAGCAAGCCAGTTTTTTTTGCCATGTTTTGTTTTTTGTCAGGAGTTGCTATGCTTGTTGAATAAAACTGTAATCCTTGTGAGAACATAAATTGCCATATAAAGCATTTGATTTGCCATCCTACAAAAAAACACAAGATCTTAGATTTTTAACATTTTCTTTTTTTTGCGCCAACTACGAGAACGCAAGACATTGTACAAAACTTAAAATCCCCACATAATATCAAGTCATCTACATGTGTGACTTTTTGTTATAAGATTGTGCCTTTTCTAAGCCTTTCTGCTTGAGCCCGTAGCATTTGCTAGCGCCCTCACTTAGAAGTTGCCATTCCACATGGATCGTTAAGTTAATTGTAATTTGGTTCCAACATATAATTTTAACAGATCAACGACGACGAGTGTGGCTTCAGCGCGCTGGTCCTTTGGGACATGTGCACGAAGTCATACCGAGTGTCATCGACAATGTCAAGCCGGTTCCGGTAGGGGAGCGGGGACAACAACTCGTTCTAGCTGCAGTAGTGGTCGTTCAATGGTCCCAGAACTTTCATAATAGACCTGATTCTTTCAACAAAAAGAAGAAGGGCGATGAATATCTCCCCTGGGTTTGGAAATCTGCCTACATCAATCCTATAAATTGTCGAAAACCATGGTAACGAAGTCAATGCATTGTATTTTATGAACATACACTGGCAATCCAGAGATGTTTCTTTTAAAAGTTGGCGACCCCTCCAATTTCTCCAATTGGAACCACTTTTTTTTTGAAAGTTATTATAATTGGTTCAATGTATGTCACATTCTTTTGACAGATATATACAGTGGACCTGGCCCATTAAAATACGGTCAATGCATGTTTTTTGATAAAACATACTACTACTACTGTATTTATCCCTCTTTTCTGTCGGCTGAATATTCATCCCTTTCGATAGGTCGTGGTGTGGCAGAACGGGTCAGTCGTCGATCTGCAGCGACGTGCACTCAATTTCATGTACATTTTGGGTGTTTTTTCCTCTCTCCCTCTCCGGCAGACACGTCCCGGTCCCGTTCCTCCATTTACTCCCTTTTTTTTTGCACTTTTTGTTTTTGTTTCGAGAAAGGCTCTGTGCACAATGCGCGTGACAAAAACCCAAACCCTTGGCAGGTCTCCAATATATATAATTCCATTGATTGTTGGCACAGCGCGGGGTGCGCAACAAGAAGAGAACTGCATTGGCCCGGCCCCTCCAGCCAAGCCGATTGGACCGGAACTGGATTAGTATATAGTATATCCGGACAGCTGAACGACGGACACGGAGCAAGAACCAGCGCTGCATGCAGCTGCGAATGCGGCAACAATGCCGCACTTGACCTCACAATACTACGTCCAGCACTATTTTTTGGGCCCTCGAGCATCCGTCTCCTCGCACGCTGGAACGGCCATTGCACATGTGATTAATTAGACGTGGGCGTTGGCTCACGGCGAATGAACTGGTCGGGCTCCTGCGCCGACCGGCCAAGAGGAACCAACGGTGGTCTCCCTAAGAAATGGATGATGCTTGCACGCACGACGCCATGGTTAGAGCATTACTAGTAGAACCTTCAAACCCTCACTAACGTTTTAAGGGTCCAAAAATAAATTTTTTGTGCACTTTTACGGGTTGAAAAACAGGGGCAAAGATTAGAACCCTTAAACCCAACCCTTATAACGGAATATTCCCCATAAACGACGTTGTCGTTGCGCGCGGGAGGTCGACGGGGCGGCCGCCGGCGACGGGGGCGACTAGCAGCGGGGGTCGCAGGCGTGGACGCGGGAGTTGGGAGGATTTTTCCCTCCCGCGCGAGTATAACCGCCAAATGAGGGTTGGGGTAGGTTTTGCTCCCAAACCCTTACTTTTGTGGATTGGGAGAGGGTTTAAGGGTTGGACCTTTAAATTTTTTTAAGGGTTTGAGGGTTAAGGGGTTCTAGCCTACGACTTTTTTCCGACGAAAACTGTAAAAAAACAGTTATTTTCAGGGATTTGAGGGTTTAAGGGCTCTACTAGTAATGCTCTTATGCCATCTTTTATTCCCGGGGCGGGGCGGTGCGGCGCAGGGCATGAGAAACTACAAGGTAAGGGCATCTCCAGCCGCGCCCCCAGGAAGGCCTCCCCAGGCATTTTTTTTTGCGTCGGCGCCGAAAAATCGGCCCAGTCGCGCCCCCAGGAGCCCGATTTTCGCCGGCTTGGGCCGAAAACAGCGCCGGCGGACCCAGGCCGAACCCGGCGCGCTGGGGGGCGCTCGGGGGCGCCGGGGCGAACTGTTTTGGCGCGAAACAGCCGCGGGCCCGCCGCTTCAGGTACACGGCTCTCTTCTCGCCCCTTCGTCGTCCTCATCGCCTCGTTTCCCGTGGCGAATCAATGCCAAAGTTGCCGCGCTGCCGCGCCGGTCTGCCTGCGCAATTGATGCCTCACGAGCCCAACCCGGAGCCCGGCCTCCCCGCGAAGTACGAGGAGATAGCCCGGCGTGGCTTCTCCGACGAGGACGCCCAGCGGTGGGCGCGGGACGACTACCTCCGCGACGAGATGGTCCGGCAGCGCCGGGCCTTGGAGAAGATCGCCGCCCGCAAGCGTGGGCGCGAGGACGAGCACGGCGTCGTGGTCCTCGACAGCGACGACGACGCCGTCGCCCCCGGACCGTCCAACCCGCCGCGCCAACCGGGGGATGGATGCAGTAAGAACGGCGGAGGCGTCGGCGGGGGCGACGACGACGACGACGACGGCGGTGACTACACGCGGTTGTACAGCCTCCTTGGCATGTAGAACCGCGTGGCCGGGCGGCGAGGCGGGCGGCGAGGGAGACGGCAGGGGTAGCCCGCGGTAGTTTTTTCTTTTTTTTAAAATATGTTTAAATTTAAACGAACTCGAACGTGTTTACGTTATGTTTGCGCCGAATTTAAATATTTTAAAAACCCGTGAGGGGTCGCGACTGGGGGGCATCACGCCCCAGTGTGCGGTTTAGCGCCGGTGCGTCCTCAGGGAACGATTTTTTGCCCCTTCTAAGAAGCCAACGGCTGGAGATGCCCTAAACACCATCGTTTGTTAGGTTTGCCGGCGCACTTTTGGTGGCTCGAGCTCGACGATGCTGCCGGTAGCATCAGAATTTCTTCAGAAAAAATAGGTTGGAATGGCAGAAGGCCAGTCTACTGCCGAGATGAAGAAAAGTACTTATTACCAGGTCGTTTTCGTCCTCTAACTTTGTTGGGGAGTTGGATCAATCCCGTTAATTAACGTGGCCATGTTTCATGGGTTCTGGTTGATGCTTTCTGCAACCAGATCCAGGCCGCTTCAGTAACTGATGAGCATTGCCATTGACCTCCAACGTACGGTAGCACTATACTCCCAGGACTTTGGTTGGCATCCTATGCTACGATCCTAAAGTCAGCTCCATCTTACTAATACACATCGCCTTCTTTAAATACCGAAGCAGGAGTACACATACTACTAGTACATGCGTCGCATGACAGTGGAACAACCACCGGCAGGAGCAGGAGCAGTTCTGCCGCTCTCAACTCAAAAGAGAAGTGCTTGGCTTCACCTTCCAAGAAGCGAGATTAAGGCCTTGCCGACTGGTTAGACCTAACAGTACTCAAGAGATTAGGACCAGACATGCTGCTAGGAGTACGGCTGCAAATTGCCAGACGACTCCTAATCCTAAACATGCTACAATTAGCAGCACCTGAACGCACCAGCTATTCAGCTAGCCTTAGGCTGGTCCTGCAGGTACGCTAGGCGCAGACACAAGGCACCATGCCACGCACCGCAAACGGAGGCTGCAAGAGGTTGGATTGTCAAGCAAAATGACATTCCCTCTACCTTTTTTTCTTGGAAAATTTGATTAATCCACATCAAACTGGTTCGCGTTGCACTGTTGTGCGGGCACGTCATCATGCGAATGCGTCGTGGGTTTGCTGCTGCTGCTGCTGATGGATATGGCTTGCTACTGTGCAGTGGAAACCTAGGAGAAAGACAGACAGACTTGGACGGGAGGCTCATGGGCAGACAAGCCCCTAAATTAAGCCACGGATTGATTGATTAGTTGGCTACTGGTAGTACTACTACTACCACCCTTGTGCTAACCAGAGGTTAGCTTAGCTTATTAGGGACAGCACTAGAACCCACGCATTAACCTAGCTAGATACTAGTAGGCTAGACAGAGGAACAAGACAAGCACCCGCACTAACCACCACCAAGACGACCCTGTCAGTAAACGCAAGCATCAACCTTTTGCCTTTGTTTCTAAGTCCGGTTGCTAAGCTTATTCTGTAATGTGTTGAATTTTGACAAATTCCTCCAAATCTGGCTTTCAGAATGAGAATCACGGGGGCCATGGGATGGGAGTAGTAGCAAGTTTCTGATGAAAAAGGGCAGATAAAACAGCAGAGGAAAACAAAGCGGAAAGACAGACAGACACCCCCTCCAGGCCTCCACCTCCCCTCCCCTGTCTTCTTCCACCCCCCAACCCCGTCTCCTCGCCCCCCTCTCCCAAAGCGCATTTCTTTCTTTCCCTCGCCCCTCTCGCTCTCGCTCTCGCTTGCGTGTGTGTGTGTGTCTCCATTAACTCCCCGCCATTACCCGCCTCACGCCCCCCAGCAATGCCGCCGTGGAGCGTGCGCGCGCGCGGCCGCTGAAGGTGCTAGCTGGATCCACCGCCAGGCGGAGCAAAGCTCGAGCGGCGGCGGCGGCGGGACGGGGGGAAGAAGGGGAGACGGGTGTGGCCGGGAGAGGCGGGCGCGCCCAATGCACGAGCACACCCTGGCCAGGGCGTGGGAGGCGACGGTGCGCAAGGTGCAGCAGCATCCGCAGCCCGGGGGCAGGCGCCGGGTCGCCCCCATGCTGCCCGCCGACGACTCCGAGACGGCCTCCTCCTCGGCCTCCTCCTCCGCGGGCGTCGACGATGCCGACCGCCATCACCGCGACATCCAGGAGGAGTACGTCGAGCGGGGCCTCCCCAACGGGGACTTCTACACGGGCCAGTGGCGGGCCGGCGCGCCGCACGGCGCCGGCAAGTACCTGTGGACGGACGGCTGCATGTACGAGGGGGAGTGGCGGCACGGCAAGGCCACGGGCCGGGGCAAGTTCTCCTGGCCCTCCGGCGCCACCTACGAGGGCGACTTCAAGGACGGCTTCATGGACGGCGACGGCACCTACACCGGCGCCGCCGGGGACACCTACAAGGGGGCCTGGTCCATGAACCTCAAGCACGGCCACGGCAGGAAGAGCTACGCCAACGGCGACCAGTACGACGGCGACTGGCGCTCGGGGCTGCAGGACGGCGCCGGCCGCTACATCTGGCGCAACGGGACCGAGTACGCCGGGGAGTGGCGGGCCGGCCTCATCCACGGCCGCGGCGAGCTCGCCTGGGCCAACGGCAACCGCTACGACGGCGGCTGGGAGGACGGCTGCCCGCGCGGCCAGGGCACCTTCCGATGGGCCGACGGCAGCGTCTACGTCGGCTTCTGGACGCGCGACGGCCCCGGCGGCATTGTCCAGCAGAAGGGCGTCTACTACCCGTCCCCGGCGGCGTCGTCCCCGACGGCGCGCGACCCCCGCGACGTCTTCGCCAGGGAGTTGCCGGGCTTCATGGGCGGCGGCGCCACCGAGTCCATGCCGCTGCACAGGCCGCTCAACAGCTCGGGCAACCGGACGGCCAATGGCCGGGCGAGCTCCGTGTCCGGGATGAGCAATTGCTCCGGCGGCGACCGCAAGTACGACAAGATTTGCATCTGGGAGTCGGACGGCGACATCACCTGCGACATTGTGGACGGGGCCGCCCTGGTGGACGACGCGCGGAGGAGCGTGAGGACGGAGGACGGCGCGGAGGGCGGGGCGCTTCTGCCGCCGCCGTCCCCGGCGCCGCGCATCGCCAAGTGGGTGTCCCCGCGGCAGGCCAAGCAGCAGGGGGAGACCATCGTCAAGGGGCACAAGCACTACGAGCTCATGCTCAACCTGCAGCTCGGGATCAGGTGGGTTGCTCTGTCCATCTCCCTCCATTAGCGACTCTGAATTATGCAGATTTTGGAGCCTTGGCTCTGGAATTTGATCAACCGGAGAGATTTACATTTGCTTTCAGCACCTTTGCCGATTTATTTACAAGTCTGAATTAGGGGATACCAGTGCTACCCTGTCAGTGGTGAATTAGTACTAAAGGGTTTGCTTCGAATCATGCAATCGTTAGGAAATGAAAAGAATTGTGGGTTTGGCCAATCCGATTTCGATACATGGCCAAGGCTTTTCTACCGTGTGGATTCTCGATCAACATGACAGCCATTAGTCATTTTTCAATCCATGATAGTTAAGTTTATCTTTATCTCTGCCCTAACAATGATGTGTTGCCACAGGCATGCAGTTGGGAAGCAAGGCCCGGTTACGCTTGAGCTCAAATCATCGGCATTCGATCCCAAGGAAAAAGTGTGGACAAAGTTCCCTCAGGAAGGCTCGAAACACACTCCACGGCACAATTCCTGCGACTTCAGATGGAAGGATTACTGCCCACAGGTGTTCCGGTTGGTCATCACTCACCACTCCCCATTTCAAAGCTACATATATGATGAATTGATGATGTACCTGCCTTCTGGTCTCATTATGCTGATCAACATACCATTTGTTCTGAACCGAATCGCAGGACATTGCGCAAGCTGTTCAAGGTGGATGCTGCTGACTACATGTTGTCCCTCTGTGGAAGCGAGGCTCTCCGGGAGCTCTCGTCTCCGGGTAAGAGCGGAAGCTTCTTCTACCTGACAAACGACGACCGGTACATGATAAAGACAATGAAGAAATCTGAAGTGAAGGTTTGTTCTTTGTGGTGCCCTCTGTCTCTAGGCTTTCTAAGCTTCATCATAAATAATTCCAGAAGTTTTGTGCTGAACGCAAGAAATACTTGTTAACGTTACAGATGCTTTTGAAGATGCTTCCAGCTTACTACAATCATGTCCGTGCGTTCGAGGATACTCTAGTGACCAAATTTTTCGGCCTACATTGTGTTAAGTTAGCTGGCGCAAACCAGAAGAAGGTTAGTGATGAATGCAACTTTATATTTCTTCTCCATACTTGGCACCATCTGTTTTGTATGATTTGTATTCATTATGGCCAATGTTCAAAACTTGCACCCTAACTGTTTGCTGTTGCACTACTACCCAGGTTCGCTTTGTCATAATGGGGAATCTATTCTGCTCTCATAATTCTATCCACAGGCGTTTTGATCTGAAAGGCTCGTCTCTTGGCCGCACGACTGACAAGCCACAAACTGAAATTGACCAGTATACAACTCTGAAAGACCTTGATCTAAACTTCATATTTAGATTAAAGAAGCAATGGTTTCAAGAGTTCCAAAGGTGCAACCATTCTCTTTTCATATTCTAGTTTGTGTTTGAGTGTATTACTAGTAACAATTTGTGCATTTAGTCCATAATGCTAATAAATAACTTAACTGTATCCAAGCAGGCAAGTGGACAGGGATTGTGATTTCCTTGAGCAAGAGAAGATTATGGATTACAGTCTCCTGGTGGGGGTACATTTTAGGCATAATGGAGAGAAGCTTCTGACTGAAGGTTGGTTGGATAACCCATAACACATTTGCAAACTTATCAAAGTACAATCAGTTGGTTGTTTATACCTTACAATGTGCACTGTTTGATTAAAGGTTCCATGGACAATGATACCAACACAGTATCAACACTTCGGCTTTCAAGAGGATACACAGATCAATTTCTTGCTGATCCAAATGGGTAAGCTAGATATTTTACCACCCTAATCTGTTATACCATGTACTTACGTCGTAGTGGAATGCAATTTTGTTTCAAATAATCAAACTTCTGTATATCTCTGTGTTTGATCCTTGCGTCGTAATTGGTATTAGGTAGGCTTCATACCTTCAAATTATCAAATATCGCTAGGTTCGAGCCATTTTTCATGGGGTCCCTTTGCTTATATATGCCGGAAATTTGTCAGTGGTTTTTTGCTCAAGGAAATTTGGTACTTCTCTTTCTAAAGCAGCATTTTAATTCTAATGAGAACACATCGTGTATGTGGTGAGCAATCAAAACTTGATGAGTCAACTGGACCTTTAATTATAAATTTTAATAATCAGCATAATCTTAACAACTGAAATGAAATAATTAGAAATGATATTGATGTGATCATTCTTCTGTGACCTATTCAATTTCAAAATCTAGATTGTGTGCCCACCATGGCTTCTTTCTCCACCTACACCCTAGCTGTTCTTACCTTTCCATTCATATTTTTTAAGCTGTCTTTGATACGTTTTTATGTGCTGTCAACTAGCTGAACAGTAGGTTGTAAATATCCGCAAAACTAAAATTTCAAGACAGGGCTACAGATTTTTGTCTTTGTAAAATCCTGATTTACGCTGTTTCGGCATTCATCTGAGTATTTGTGAATAAACAGGCTGTCTAAAATCAAACTCGGGACAAGTATGCCTGCAAGAGCAGAACTGACTGCTAGGAAGAACGACTGCGAGCCGCAGCTCATTGGAGAGCCAACCGGGGAATACTACGATGTTATACTGTATTTTGGGATCATAGACATACTTCAAGATTATGACATCAGCAAAAGGCTTGAGCACGCGTACAAATCTTTCCAGTACGACCCGACCTCGATATCGGCAGTGGATCCAAGGCAGTACTCGAGACGTTTTAAGGATTTCATATACAAAGCATTTCAAGAGGACAGCTGAAAAGATCGTGAAGCTTGACAGCGAAGCCGCCCCCCGATGCAGATGAAGTTTGAGATGTCAATGGAAGAAAGCTCAGCCTCTGCACAGCGAAGTGGGGTGCCCGAACTTGTAAGCCGTCGATTTTTTGGTACAAGGATGGGGTGAGTGCAGCTTCAGTGCAAGCCTTCTGGATATGGCAGAGTTGCTCCAGAAATGGCCCGGCTCTCGCGTAAATATAAATACTAGTTACATTAATATTAATACATACAACACATAGGGCTCACTGATATTTGTAGGGTAGGAGATGGAGTTGGAGATGTTAACTTAGCGATTCAAGTTAAAGATAGGAGAGGTGTAACCAAGCGCGCAAGCCGGCCCGGGAGTTGTAAATGTTTCTTCTTTTTTTCACCTGATGATGAGGGTAGCAGCATGTGTTAGGTTTTTTGTGGGGTAAAAATTTGTTGATTCATGACTACGCTTGTGGACATACATGCCCATGGGAGGAACATGCTTGGATTTCTTCTGTCTGCACATTGTACATTGTTTTCCGTCTGGGACCTGGCATTGCGGGCATAGAGAGAGCAGTAGTGATGCCTCAGTTTTGTTCCCGGGCTGAAATGATCGTGTCTTGGGCATTTGCCAAGTCCCAATGAATGATGCTGCACCCAAATGGGTCCAGGCCAACTGAACCTCACCTCACCTCAGTAGTGGCAGCTGAGGCATCAGCATTTTGTGTGCTCCGTCGGGGTCAGCCTGTGATGATGGCTTGTCTGCAATCAGCAAAAGTCGCGGGAAATTGGGTGTAATGTTTGCACCTGTTGTGCAACTTGCTCCCCTCCCCTGCCATGAGAGGGAGGTTGGTGCTTGTTCGAGTTTAACCTGACTGAATCAGATCAATCTAAATTGGATGCACTAACTAGAAGGAACTGCAACAGTATGTCTGATAACAACATCACATGTATCCATCAATCTAAATCAGATCCAGGATACTGTTTCCAGCACAGCTTAATTGTGGATGCTTTGATGATGCCATGTATAGTATGGCTGTCGTCGTTGTTTTGTGCTGATGAAATGAGATGTTTGATACGCATGTCTGCCTGCCTGCTTGGCCGCACCTTTCAGTCGCGGTCGTCAAGCCATCCATAGGTAGTGCCTGGATCTGGATCTTGATGTTTTTCACCTTTGATCCGGTGATTGGACGGTGTTAGGTTAGGCCTGGTGTTTGAAGCTTTGCTGCCGCCCATACGCGACGTGGATCCGACTTCGCGGATGGATGGATGGAAGAAGGTGACATCTTCTAAAAGCGTTTCCTGCCAGGTGCAACACAGCTTTCTTTTTTGGTCTCCGAATTTGTCTCGATAAAATATGCTTCTGAGTCCTCATCTTGTTAGCGTGAGCAGTATTTTATGGTGTTTGTGCCGATGGACGCATAATAAGCATAGAAAAATCGAGGGGAGGGGAGGGGGTTGGAAGATGAGACAGTTGTGAGACGTGTTCCCGTGGTTTTTTAATTTTGTTATGCGTGTGATCGATCGTGGCCGGCAGCTCTCGACACCGAACCTTCTCTCGCACGCTGATTGGCCGCCGGCGATTCTGTTAACTGATGTA